CCTGGTGGGAGGGAACTTTCTTTCTGAGAAATTCTACTGGTGGTTAAAGGCAAGTGGCACCTTCTCCTGGTTTTAAGTCCACAAGAGAGCTCAACTCTACAATAATCTATTTTTGTCCAAGGGAAAATACCATGCTCATATGTGAAAATATAACTACAGAACCTCTGAAAATGTCCATGCTCGTAACTATAATGCCTGGAGAAGGGTAATTTTCATTTTGGGTCCAGGGCTACTTTCTCAGAATTGCTTCAAAAAGACATATAACGATTTATACTAAATGAGGATCTAGTCTGTAATTTTCTATACCAAGTAAAAATAAGCACTGGTTTCAGTTTTTTTCCCCACTGCTTCTGAAGCACAACCCTCCAGTGAACAGTGATGAATATTCCAATGTCCTGAACATGATGGATTTTAATTTCTTATTAGAGGAAGCAGAGGAAGAGAGAAAGTAATAGCTTTAGAGAGAATGGCTCTGTTTGTTTTTTTAAGTACCTACTTTTGCCTGGTAGTCTGCTATGTAAGTGAATTTCCTTGAAATCTGATTATTGATGTACCATTTTTTTATTATTATCTCTTTTATGTCAGACAGCCCACCAGTGTAGTTCCTCAAAAGAGGATGAAAGTGGTGTAAAAACTGAATAGTGGCTGTAGTGTTAAATGTCAGGGGAAAAAATATTATTAAGTATAGCTGGTCAAAACCTAGCAAAATAGTTTTGTTAAATTACCAATGTTTTTCTAAGGAACCAAACTGCAAAAGGAATCTGTAAACGTGACATGGTAGAAATTCAAGGTAGAAATTTCCATCAGAAAGACATCACTTAAATTGTTCCCTAAAACTTTCTGTGTGATTGTAAGCACGGGAGGTGTAAGTGATTCAAACACAGCCCTCCAACTGTATTTTTCTTCACTGCTGTAAAATCAAAGCTCCAAGCGGCTTTCAAGGGTCTGATCACTAAGTAAAGGCAAACAGTGCGCCAAGCAGGAAAGCAGTAAACACGCAGTAAATTGATTTAGGCCAATTTTTATTTTTTCAAGCACTAGCAAGTAACCTCTAATCTCTCTGTTTTTCTGACCTGCCCCTGACTTCCTCTGCTGTTTGTTTGCTTTTTCGTGTCACTCGGCTTGTGTCATGCCCAAATAAGAGGGCAGACCGATCTTTTGTTCTTGCTCACTTTTTGTTTGGTTTCTATGACCTCTGTGTGCAAATGGGAAGCTGAAAACCGAGTCTTGAATAAGACTGACTTTTTAGGCGTTGTAGCAGAAGAGGGTTTCTCAGCTAATTACCCAGCCTTTCGGCCAAAGACAGAAACAAAGGAAGAGTCAGGCTGCTATAAGATAATCATTCTGTTTATCTGTGCTGAACAAACACCGCTTGTAAAGTAATGATAAGCCCTCTGCACTCAGATAACAGCGGATCCAGGCATCTCTCGGAGATGCTCTGCAGGTCTCCCAATTCTAAAGAGGCTTTTGCCTACACTTAGCTGAGATAGTCCAGTGGATATTTTGGAAATACCAACAAATTTCTTCTCCTACAGCCTACTGTAATGTACATACTGGGATGTGCATCCCCATTCCTCAGGAAAGGTCGAAGGGTCTGGGGTGCAATTAGTTCCCTCTCACCTCAGCCTGCCTTCGTTTCCCTGCCAGGCCAGTGGGCTGGTTCACTACAGGGAGCAGGAGCAGATCAAGGGGCCGATGCCCTGTTTTACTTCTGTGCTTTCACAGAATCACTGAGGTTGGAAAAGACCTCCAAAATCCTCATATCCACTGTGTGCCCAATCCCCACCTTGTCACCCAGCCCAGAACACTGAGTGCCATGTCCAGTCTCTCCTCGGACACCTCCAGGGATGGGGACTGCACCACCTCCCTGGGCAGCCCCTTCCAATGCCTGACCACCCTTTCTGTGAAGAAATTATTCCTGAATTCTTCCTTTGAGGAAGGGTAGTTTAACGCTGCTCTGAATCCCCACACTTCAGCTTCTTGCTGTCCTTGGGGTTCTCTGATTTTTAAGCATGTCACAGCTGAGGAGCACTGACAGAATCTGTGTTGAAATATACATTTTTAGATTGGCTGATAAGATATTTTCTGACAAACACCCCTCAAATCTTTCCTGTTGATCAATACCTTCTTGGCTGCCTCTAGATGTAGGAGCTGAGGAGCATCTGCTCCAGCTCAGCTTCCCTTACACAGGCTGGCAGTGAAATCAGAGGCACTTTGGGCAAGTAAGAATAGTTCCTGTAGGCTGAAAAATGGAAGAAAGCAGTAACAAGACTTTGTTACTTGGAACACATAGAGAGGGACAGGCTGACTATAAAGAAAATTAGGTTTAGACAGAGTTTTGATTCTTAATAGTGAGAGGGTTAAGAAGATGATCCTGTTTGCTTTTTGCCAGTTAAACCCTGATGTAAAACTGCTTTTGTTTTCTGAGGGCTTTTTTTCTTTCATCCAAAGGCACACTTCCTAAAACAACGTTCCCATCCCTGTTTCACACCAAACTTTTGGGGGAAGTTTGCCAAAGTCGTACACCTATTTATGGCCAGCACTGTGTGAATATTTTGTCTTTCACAAGCCGTGCCAAAGAGACTCATGATGAAAACAAGGATATAAATAATTTTGGGACAAATGAGGGCTGTTTTCCTCTTTTCCAGTATTAAATGTTTATTAACTTCAAAGGCATAATAACCTTAAAAAAATTACAATACCAAACATTGCTTTGAAAAATCAATGCTTTATTTCAGAAATGCTGCCATGAAGTATCTGCAATGGGTTTGCCTTTTTTAAAAACACACCCTCCTCCTCCACCTCGTGCAAACAATTTGTAGATGGCCACAAGACCCTGTGTCCTCAGCATTAGCCTGGCATCTCTTCTGTGAAAAAGAATGGAATGAAAGGAGTTCTCAGAAGAGCCTCATTTAATGTGTGCTACTATGGGCCTCCACTGACAGAGAGGGCAGGTTGCATGTCTGAGCAAGTATTCCTCTTTAATTTGTTTTCTCCTGGTCTGTATTTGCCTTCCAAGTGGGTGAAAGAGTGCTGCTATTGATCATCCCGTGGGAGATGCCTGCCCAGATAGACTGCAGCCGAAGGACAGGGCTGTTGCCCCTGGGAAGCCTTGGTAGGTGTCCTGTGGGTCATTCCCTTAATTCTTGGCCCCCTGGACCAGGTACAGCCCACAGGACAAACAGCTGTGCCTGGTGTGGTCCCAAAGAAGAAGAGAGGTCAGGGACCTATGGTGTAAATACATGGGAGAAAAGCCAAGGGGCTGAAGGATGTGGAGTGGTGACTTGTGCAGAGTCCCCTTTTCACTGTGTGACACTGGATAGGTCTGGTTATCTGAGGGCTGAGACACTTTATGAGGAAATGAAGGGGCCAATTTCACCTTCTCTACTCTTTTTTCAGGGTTTGGCAGTAGTTTCAGAGCCTAAGAGCATCATGATTTGCTTGGTTACATGGCAGTCTAATGCAGGGCATCATCTGGGATGTGATGGAAATGCTTTTCAGTCAGTACCATGAAAATTCCAAGAGTGTCAGCAAACCCCCTTGCTTTCTGCTGACTGAATCTATGTTTCCATCTTCCTAATTTGAGCAGACGCAGAAATCCCCCAGACCAGCATTAGTTTTCAAAGCTGTTGAGAGAAAATACCTACTTTGCTACTAGAAAAGTCTGTGGGTACAATCAGGTGCCCTTTGTACCTGCACCCTTCATGCCCTTACATCTGTGTAACAGAGAAATCCCTCCATGGAACAGCTATGACATAGTATGATTGTCAGGCAGCTCCAGCCAAATCATTCCTGACTCGAGCCCCCAAAGAAAACTCTGCACATCTGTAATATATTTGTGGCTCTGCTTGCTCATTTGTCCTCCCTCTGGTCTTTTTTAATGAAGGGTGTGAAAAATTAAATTCTCACAGACTCCAGCAAACTAAACAGAGGGAGCAAATGAAAGGTATGTTCCTTAAAGCACCATTATACCAGTTACTGGTTGACAAATTTACGTTGATACACGGAATGGGATCTGTAATGAGTTTCCTGCAACCCATAACACAGTCAGGGCCAAACAGTGCCCAAAATGGGACTCACGTGACTCCCTGCGCTGTGACTGAGGGTGGTTTTATGGCCCTGAAAAGGGCAGCTCTGTTTGTGCAGCACTAAGTGAATTTACAGTACATAACTCCAAAACTACGTTTTTTAATTGCGTAGCATCAAAACAGCCCAGAGAGGGGATGTGTACCCAAACACCCCTTATGGTGTTTGAAGTAATGAAAGGGGAAGGTTGGGTGCTGTGTCTTTAAAAACTGTGAGTCTCCTATAAGCTGGAGGCAGCCCGTTCAGCCATTTCAAGGTGGATATAACTATCACACACTGCGCAATTTACATAAGACTTATCTTTGCTTAAATTCTTTTAAAAGGATACCATCAATTTAAAGATTACATTTCCCTGGGTCATTAAAGTTAGGCACATACTAATTTATTAAAAGGTAATGTATTATATCTAGGAAATGATAGGATCTGCCAGAAATTCCAGGGAGGCTTTAGAGGTCTTGCTGTGATGAGTCAATGATAACGGCATAGGGTGAGACAGCTGCATTAATGGAGCTGCCTGTTCCTCACGGAACAGGGGGGCAGTGCAGCGGCAGTAATCGTTTGGGAAGGTGGCATGGAGAGGCACGGCAGTGGAGCCTATGCAGGGAAGAAAGGAAACCCATCAAGCCTTATTTACTGGGTAGCATTGCAACACATCACAGGAGTGGCCGCTAACTTCACTTAGCATGTGCCAAATGCTGCCCAGCCATGTGCAAATAAAAAGCTCCTGCGCTGAAGGAGTTTTCTCACAGTCACAATGTGCAAAAAGCCCGTGTGGATGCCCCATCAAGTAACTAGCCTTTCAGGAGATTTAAGGGTTTGCCATTTAGATAACCCTTTCCCTAGGTTGTCTCTTGGTGGATGTTTGCAGTTAAAATGACCCCAGATCCAGCATGGTGGTCGTGTTCCCAGCCCTTGTGACATCAGCAATTTCAGAAGTCAAGCCTGAAGGCTACACAAACCCCATCAGAGAGAGGATGAGCCTCTGAGGTGAGTGAGACGCTTCAGTGTAACAAGCACAAGGGGAACGACACACTGGAAAGCAGCAGCATCAGCAAAGAGACAAGGTGACAGATGTGAACTGGAGGAAGGCTGATCCCTCAGGCTCACTCAGCACGCTGGGATTATCCCTGCAGGTCCACTGCTGTCTCTGAGAAACGCTGAGAGTAGAGCTGTCAACTAGGAAGAGGAGTGGGGGGAAAAATCCCTGTTGGAATCAATGCTGAATTGCAGAGGTGCAAACTGGGATGGAAAACCTATGGCTCCGGGTGAGGAGGAAAGGGCAAGAGCTGATGAGATAAGATGGCAGCATGAGAGGCCCCGGAAGTTGGTCTGGTCTTGGACTTGGCCTCTGTGTCAGCAGGATTGTGTAAGCAGGGAATTCCTGCCAGCATCTCGCTCCAGGGCTGAGGCTGAGAGCGGAGCCTGGCAGGGACGGTATCGCAGTGCAGGCTGAGCTGCTCCTGTGGGTGGGTAATGTGTTCAACAATTTCCCTCCTGTGAACACCAAACCAGACTACAGGGAGAGGGCTGAGGCAAGGAACATGAAACTCCCATGCTTCATGCTGAAATTATTAATTATTGCAGCTCTAAGCTGGTCCCAAGAATTTAAAAATAACGCCCTCGAAGTTCAGCATTAAGTGCCGTACCTGATGTCCACTGTTTTGAGACCACAAATCATTTCCAGATCTTTGGCTCCTAACAGGCACTGTCAGCACAAACCTTTTCCCCAAACATTCTGTTTTTAACCCCTGAGAGGGTCTGGGAAGCTGTGTTATTGTCTGCTTTTCCCTAAATCACAGGGAGCCATCACTGAGAACTGAGAGGTGGAATGCCTTGGGGCAGGAAAGGAATGTTCCAGAGGCCAGAGCAAAGGTATTTTCCTGCAAGATCTACTCTAGTCTCCATCATCCCATGCAATGAGTAACACACAGCCTCCTCCTCTCCTGCCTAGGAGCAGGAGAAGCAGGGAGGCAGGATTTGGGCAGCTCTCCAGCAGCAACACCGTGGCAGACCCTGACTCAGGGTATGAACAACCTTGCCCTTCCTGTGGATGTTTCCTTGAAAGGAGTGATTTAGCCTTAGGCAAAATTGGAACACCAAGATATCATTTGAATTCAGGAATCACTTGCTTTCTTTTTGCAAGGTTTGGGGGGGTTTATTTTCTTTTTTTAAGGATGAGACTTATTTCTTCCACATGCTCATCTTCTGGTATTTAGCAGTTTTTAATATGAGAAGGACACACAGAAAAATTAATACTCAGTTTCTGAGTTGTAAGGCAGCTTTCAGAGGAACTGAATGTAGTTTTTTCAGTGTTACTGTCAAGAAATCCTTAGGGTTTTGAAACTAAAATCTCTTTTCCTCATTTGTAAAAAAAAAATTACCTTCACTGCGAAGTTTTAATCTGAGCACAGAGTCTGACTTGTGTGTTGGGCATTGACTTGAGATGGGTTTGTGGCTTAAACAAGGAACTTCAGCTTCACCTCTTCCCTAGTTTTCCTATTTGAATTATTGTTTTTCTTCCAGCAGAGCTCTATAAACATCCAAGCAAAAAAAACTTGGAGAAGGATACTGTTATACAACTGCTAATCATTACTATTCTTCTATTGTATTTGGTGACGTAAGGAAGTCCCAGCCAGATGCCTTAAAATCTGAGGAAACGTCTGCAAGGCATCTTTGTGGTAACACATGGGTGCAGATTCCATTCATCATTTCCTTGACAGTTTAACTAACTACTCCCAAGCCAAAAAAGATCCCTGAAATCCATCCCAGAAATATTAGCTGAAGGACAGGAGCAAGTCACTAAAAGCTCAGGCAGCCTGTGTAGCTGGAAATGCCAAGGCCCACAGACTGTCAGGAGAGGGTCTGCAGAACACAATCAAAAAAATGCTGGCTTGCTATACAGAGGCCTAAATTCTGTACACAGGGATTTACACCTCCACTAGAAAAAAAAAAGAAAAAGAAAAGGAGGGGGGGAAAAGTTTAGAGCTCTGCACATTGTACACAGTTGGAACCACTCATCCAGAAACTCGGGTTTGAACTTTCCGAAGTACCTGTGGGATTTAGAACAAATCCCAGTTAACTTCAGTAGAACTGGGGCCCTCACATGCTTGAATAATTGAAAGCTTGAGTCAGAATCACCAGAAACATGTTTTTCAACCTTTTACAATTTGCAGCACCTTAAAACTTTTTTTTTTTTTTTTGCCAGTGGAAGTGTCAGTTCCTGTGTAGCGATTTAATACTGCAGAAAATAGGTTTGCTTTTCTTAGCTACCCTCTGCAGACCCCTTAAAAACAGCCTATGAACACACAGATTGCAGGTCAAAAACTGTAACTTTGACATACCTCAAAATATTTACTGTTTTCTCTAGAGCCCTTTGTCCTGATGTCATCCAAACAAATATACAAAGGGCAGTGCCTTGTTCTTATGCTTAGGAAAAACTTAAAATGTTTAGTATTTAATTTTTTTATTTGAATGCCAATTTCATGATTTTTTGTGATTTAGCTTACAATTTTTGAACGTTTGGTGTTGGTAATGATGTATTGCTGGTATTACACACTTCATCTTGGTCCTCTATGCATTTTAAGTCAAATGTTAAAAACACAATTGAATATTGGAATATGGGGAGAAGGACATCCTCCCCACACTTGTTTTCTGCTGAGTGCTTTAGACAACCGGGGGAGCAATCTGTCCAGCACCATCAGAATATAACATTATAAAATTATATAGTGACACATCCAAACGTGAGGTGCAGATCTACACTGTCTTCTGGGAAAAACTCTGTTCTAACAACTCTGAACTCATCTCTACTCTCTGTTGAAGCCTACAAGAATGACAACCTGAGGACAACCATGAGAGCCAGGAACAGGCCATCAAACACAGCTTTAGAGGTCATATTCCTTTTGGCACCAGAAAGAACAATGGCCATAAGTGATTTGCTTTGCATTTATGGCTTTTACCTTGGTATGTTGTTTGTCTTCTAATAAACTTCTTGACTCACTAATCATCCATTCAGAGGCGCTTTCTGAGCTGTGACTGGGGAAAAGATGAATGCATCCAGTTCTGAAATTATGCAGTGAAATGCTGCTCTGCATATTATAGCTACAGCATGATATATTAGCTAATAAAACACAGCATGGAAAAGGCTTTGGGCGGAGCCCTGAGCAGTCAAGGGGCCACTGAGAAAAATGGGAAGGAGGGATTTGGTGAACTGTGTGATGAAGGGAGGCAGTCCAGGGGAAAGGCAGAAGGTGTTGGCCTGACAGGTAACGGGAGGCGATGGATGAGGAGCTCTGGAGTGAAAGATCTGTGCTTGGTCTGGTCCTAAGAGTCATCACGGGACTGTAAAGAGCAGCAGATGGAAGTGATGATGAGCTGTGATGCAAAGAGACAGAACACCACAAAAATCCCTGCAAACCTGCAGAACACCCCAGCTGGACACAATGGGAACTGAGAATCACAGGTTGCCACTCCACCACAGACAGCTTGACCACAAGAGTACTGTCACCATTCTTCCCCACTGCAGTAATGCCTGGTGCCTAGGCAGTAATAGGATTTCAAGGATTTGGGAAAGCAGGAAGGTTCTCTCTGAGACAGGGTGACATTTGGGGTTTGGGAAAAAAGTAAAGGACATTGTTTAGGTGTTTTATTTAGACTACATCCAGCCTGAAGGGAGTGCTCAAAAGAACTGGAGGTTCTCCTGTGTGCCAGGTCAGATTTCTCCCTCAGCCCCAAACTCACCAAGCGTTGCTAGTATCTGACCTGAAGAACCTGCCCTGGCTGTTTGTCTAATGGTTTGGGTCACTCTGTTTAGTTTGGTTGGGTTCCTCTAAATAAAGCCTTAACTGAGGGCGTTATTAACTGGAGTGGCTGCAGTGTTGGTTGCCTGGTTCGGTGGGCAAAAAGACAAGCCTAAAGATGCATTTTGGCATTGGAAAGAAATTGCTAATTGTTGCAGTTTGGATAAGGTTAAATATCTGAGGATATTAAAACCGTGAAACAGAGACTTTCAGTTCTGAATCACAGATTCAGACCCAACTCCAAATGAGGAAGAATCTGAAGTTTCTCCTTGTAAAATGCTTGGTAGCCTACATGAAGTTAGTTAGCTTGCCTTCCTTAGATGAGGTCTGCCCTTTGATTTCCACCAATTTTGTCAGTTTTGAAAGTGATTGAATTACTCTAGTCCACAGCCATGCTGAAGTGTTCAGCTGAAATATAGCAATGTGAGCAGAACTGCAGGAATTTAAGCACTTGTTTCATCTGTTCATTTGTTTCAGGGGTTAGTCCCATGGCTTAGTTCAAAGAGCCTTTCATGGCTGCTAAATGAGGGGAAATCTTGGGAACTTGCAGCCAACATGGCAGTTTTGGGGTCGCATTTGCTTCTAAACCTTTGTGGGTTGGTTATAGGGCGATGTGGCGTAACAGTGTGACTGAGCATAAATGTTAAACAAACCATTAAAAAATCATTTCTAATCTGAAAAGACAATTTTTTAAGGGCCAGGAAAGGCTACTGAAACCTTTATCTGGTCCCTTGTTCACAGACACTCTGAACATGTCCTTACTTCCATGACCTTGTACTTTTTTTTGCTGTAGAAAAGCAACGGCCTCATTAAATAAACCTGACCAAACTGGTCCCTATTGCACACCCATTCTCTGTGTGCTAAGGGTCACAAGGACAGAAATAAAAAGGTATTACTCCAGTGAACCTTGCCATATGCATAAAGAACCCGAAGTAAGATTATCTATATTGAGAACCGGAGTTTTCTGAAATTCAAGTACCTATTTTTACACTGGATTAGCATTTCCCCTGCCTCTCCAAGCCTTGTTAACAGAACATTATACAGCTGTCCAGGGTGATCAGCAGCAGGAGAGGGACACCCTTTTCTGCTGAAGCATTTCTGTTCTTTGGGTTTATGGAATGCCAGTAATGACTGTAAACTTGCCACTGGAGAGTTGTGACGCGCTTTGGAGCAGGTATTTGCTGAGAGCAGAAAACAGTGGACTCTTGATTTCCTCTCCAGCCTCCAAATAGGGATGTGCTTTGGTGACCACAGCCTCCTCACACTGCTGTACAGTTCTGGCAGCTTCCTTCTTCATGGGGTATATTTGGGAAGAGAGAAATCCTGGGAAAGCAAGAAGGAAGGAGTGCCTGCTCTTTGCTTTGGTGTCCCATCCACAGGCTAAAGGAGCCACAACCACAGAATCCTAGGATGGTGTGGGTTGGAAGGGACCTTAAAGATCACCTCATTTCAAGTCCCTGCCATGGGACCTTCCACTAGCCCAGGTTGCTCAGAGCCCCATCCAACCTGGCCTTGGACACTTCCAGGGATGGGGCAGCCACGAATCCAGAACTGCAACGGAACTGAAAGTCCTGCTTGCCCTTAGGATGCCAGGTGCATAGTGCAGATGAGCTTTATTAAATCTATAGAAAATCAGGCTGTGAGGCTTTACTGAAGCTGGTTTGTGTGCTGATCTAAGAGCTCACTGCTGGCAAGTGGGAGGTCTCCCTACCTCCTCTACCCTCCCTGCCTCCTCTTTGCTCCCTACCTCCTCTTCCCGAGGGCTTCTGCCACCATTTGTCTTTCACAGTGCTTCTATCCCTCGGACCTACCTCTGACAGCTGTCAGAGCCATTTTCTGTGAGATTAGTGAGCTGTGTAAGGAGAGTGATAAGAGCGAGAAGTGACACTGAGGGGGCTGAGACACCCTGGCCAGGAGAAGGAGCCGGGCAGGGACCTCCCCATCCTGTTCCCTCGACAAGCTGGTCAGAGTGTTGCAGTCTCTGGGTTTGGTCAGACAGTGCCTGCAGTTTTTCAAAGCCTCCTAATGTAGTTAAATTGGGGCAGGCTTTCACAAAGGCAAATTTCGTGTTCCCTTTTCAAAGGCTAAGGGCATTAAAGCCTCTCCGAGAAAGATTACCAGGGTGTTTTGACAAGGTAAAATATAACCAAGCCCTGGTCTTAGAGATAAGAGAGACTTCTGGTAAGAGTTTCCAGTGTAATTCAAGTTTAGGTAAATATTCAGTGTGGAAATTTTTAGCTAAAATATCTAATGTTTGGTAAATGTACTTAAGCAATATTAACAATAGAGCTGCCAGCCCCACCTACAAGAAGTGGTTTGCACCCTTTTGGCAGAAAGATCTAAGATTGAATGGATATAAGGCAAAGCTGGGAAAATTATATTGTTCACTATTTTCTAGTGAGTCATCAACAGGTTTTTTAAAACTTTGTAATAACAGAGGTTTTTTTAGAGCACGAGATGCTTTTCTTCAGAAAGTAGCATTATAATGAGGGAGGAGTGGGGATGCATGTGCTTTTCATCTGCATGGAATACAAAGAGACTACATAATGTAAAGCAGACCTTAAAAGAGACAAATACTCATGTTAGAGAAAAATGCTGGTAGGATAAATCAGGGAAAAAAAATGTTTCAAATGCACATTGAAATCCTTTCATATCATCTGAAGTGTAAGAGCCAGGCAGAGAAAACTACACCCAGAGTCACAGCAGGGCTGATAGATTGGCTCACACGCCCAGGACTGATAAACAGGTTATGTGCAAATCCCTTCCCTACCGTTTTGCTTTTCTTCTGATAAATATTTTAAAAAGAGATTTGTCTCACCGAGATGACTTTAGTACGAGAAAGAGAAAAGAGCAGGGCTTTAATATTAATGGGTCTGAAAGAGCTTTTGCAAACTCTTTGTTTTATGTTGTGTTTTACTCTGTTTTATACAGCATGCAACTCGTATCACTTACAAACTCCCACAGAGAGTCTCTGCCCCCCTGAGATGTTGTTACAAACCACGCACAAGCAGAAGTCTGAACAAAGAGGGCAGGTACCTTTTAAGGCCTTCCCGTTTCCCTATTTTTCCCTATTTCTCTCCTATTGCCCCTGCCTGTCTGCAGAGCCCTGGAAACGCGATAGCCCAGGCTCCACCCTGCTGGTGGAAAGTTCATGGAAACCATCAATCAGAACCAGTTGCCTTTAGCAACCAACAACAAATCTGCCCGAGTTCACCGCGGGGATGGAGAGTGCGTGGTTGTCGCTGTGCTGATGTTCAGCTGAGGATTCCTGGCATCAGGAAAACTCAACCTGTAGGAGCTTTCAGAGAGAAAGTAAGTATTAAGTAATGTCTTCAGGGTGAGATGGAGGTCTCCTCCAGCTTGGCTGCACCCCAGTTGCTGTCGCTAAAAGCAGAAAGAGATCCTGAGTGAGTCTGGAAACTACTGACCACGAGGTGCTTGTCTCAGCTGTGGAGGGGAGGCGTGTTGTAAGTCCTCAGCAAGGCTTCTTCTGGTTCAAAAATCTGCAGGAGTGGACATATCACAGTCAGCCCTTCTAACAGCCTGAAGTATATTATTGCTGACTTGTTATGTAAAACCTTAAACACCTTGTAAGGGGAAGATACATGTATCTATAGCATATTTATAGGGGGGTGTGTGGTCTATTTGTATTTTTTATTATGAAACCATCTCTGACTTTTGATACCTGACCCAGGTAGCCCTTGTGTTTGCAGTACCCTCTCCAGGCTCACCTGGGAACACCTTCTGTCTCCTTACACCACGGTGAAATGACTGCAAAATTAGGAATGCACAGGAATGCACATGAAATTATATCCACTCGAAAGCCTTATCCGCGGACCAGTTGCTGCCTCCCTCGGAGAGGGTCTAAAAAAAGTGCAGCAGCCTCTGAGGGTGGGTGTCAGCAGCGGGATTATGGATTCTGACCCTCCCAAACCCAAAATGTTTTCCCAGGTCAGGGCGGTGTGGGTTTCAGCAGCTGCCCCTGTGCTAACACCTAAGCCTTTGGGAACAGGGGGTGGAGAGGAAGGGGAAGGAAAACAAGGACATACACTTCAAAACCAGCTCAGGTTTCAAGGGGGAAGGATTTCTCTTCA